TATATAACTGAGAAAAATAAAAACTAACAATATCAATAAAAAGACTATAAAATGAAAGTAATAATACATTTTAAGCAAAAAATACTTTATATTTCACTAAGACAGTACATAATGACCCTGATTAAAACAGAAGTAGGTCATTTGCACTTTTACCCTTTCCAATTAGAGTCCAAAGAACTCCAAGCCTGTTAAATGGGGTTGACATTCTGATAGATGTTATAAATTTGGATTTTCAACTAAGTTGTAACATATAAAATAAGTTTTAAATAGATTCTTATATTAATTTACATTTTAAATTTATTCTGATCATGAAAATATAACAAGCATTATCCGGAGTTCTTTTCTTTTTATTTAGAAGTAAGTGTTTAAATTACATTTCATTTGAGATAATAATAATTAATTTTCCTTTAGTTATTAAATGGAAATAAGCTAAATTTATTAACTGACTTCTGATAGGTTAACTATATATAAAGAGCTTGAATATAATTGTCGAAATATTGCATAGTAATTTTTTAAATACAAAATGACTTCTACAGCAAGTAATGCTTTATGACAAAGTCTAAATTAGAATTATTTTGTTAGAGAAACAACAAATGACTCACCTTAATCCAGGGATGCTCCAAGCATTGTTTGACTGTTCCTCGTTTTCTATGATTTAAAGGGAATAATTAAATACATATTATGGTATTTTCATTGTATATACATTAATAGTATTATGTTAGCTTAATCATGCAATGTTATTTTCTGCTACGGTTACTAAGGCAACATAGATCAATAAATCTAGCAGCTGGTTCTGGGTGAGTATGAGGACACTACCATAGTCAATGAAAGGTAGGTCAGTGTGATATATAAAGATCAATAAATTAATTCATTATTATATAAACTATATATATTTATATTTTTATTATTTACAATTTTTTTAAAATAATAAAAAGTAAGTTGCATGATAATTAATAATGTCTGTAATTATTATAGGATAATGATATTAACAATCAGATGATATTAACATAATCAGATGAAATTAGTTTTCAAAATAAATATCTTGTGGTTTTTATGAAATCAATGTTAAAAAAGAAGAAAACATAAAATATTTAATTTTCACTATAAAAGAACATAATATATTCTATAAGAAGATTGATTAACAAGGAGGCATGTTATAGATGATCAAGAAAGATTTTTATATTGATTTTATAATAGTAATGTACTGTACATTAAGTTTGCTTCATTGAAATTTCTATTTTTGTATAATCAATATTTGTCAGTAAAGTATGCTTTAAATATTGTAATAGATTTTTGATTTATTTAAGGATGAAATATGTCACAATTAATTATAATTATAAAAATTTAATGATAAAAAATAAAATTTGTAAAAGCAATAATTTGATTTTTTAAGAATTTATATAAAATAAACATGTTTTTATTCTTGATATCCAACACTGTGTTCTGTTTCTTTTCATTCTAACTAACTGATGTTTATCACTTTGTTAACAGTTACATTAGATGAAATAGAAGGACAAAATAAATTACATTTATTCTTGTATAAAAAAAAACTACACAGTTTAAGGATTTTCTAAACATGACCTTGTTTAAACAAGAATACTAAAGTATTTGTTATTTTGATGTTTTTAGATTACGATTATAGAATTAATGGAAAATTCTTCCAATCCAGCCAGATTTCCCTCTTCCACANAATTAAAAGTTTAAATAAAATTAAATTATGAAATAAGGAAATATTCACCTGACGAAATGACTAATTTTTTGAATAATAAAAAAGAGAAAAGAAATTAATGTGAGAGGTAGCAATTTTTTTTATTTATAGTTATATGTAATTAGTTACATTATTTAATTTTGTTTCAGTTATTTTAAGTTTTGGAAATTGAATTACATTAAATCTTGAATGCTCTCTGAATACTTCCCTACTACAGATTCATTTGCATAACTTAATTTGAATAAATGGAATTGCATTCTACTATTCTAATATTGCAATCATATATATAAAAACAGAAAATTATTTAGGATTTTATGCTTAAACAGATGTTAGTAGAGACAAATTAAGAAAAATTATTTCTCAAAAGCAAGTACAGTATGCAAATCAGTAATGTATAAAAGAACATTGTCAAACTGAAATAGCAAGCTAGCCTTCACTTCTGCTGGTCAGTGTGTAGCTGTTGAATTGTAAGTGATTGGTGCCAATTAAGAGTTTTTCTTTTGTTAGATTTTGTGAAATTTGTAACATTTGAATTTTATACTATTTGTTGCAATATAGTTTTGCTTTGTAGTCAGAGTTCAGTACTGGCATTTCTAGTTTATTAATAAAATTTTTGACATTTTAACTCTGATTGCAAAGTTTGTTTACTTGTATTCATTTGCAAGGTCTAAAATGTTATTATTAAAGAAAATCATGAAATAACTTTAATATTAGCTCTTTTTGTTATTATGTATCTATAAACCTCAGTAAATAATGAATATTCTAATTATTCAAAATTAAGTAATTAAAGTTATATTTCATTTTATGCACTTTAATTTGAGAAATAATTAAGTTAAAATTCAGTTATAAAACATAAAACTAGTGAAAAACTTCATGTTTTCTTTTTTCTTCCAATTTTTATCTGTTCCATTGAAAATCTCTTTTTTTAATTGGGTTTTTATCAATTTTTTGAAAGACTGTTTTTAAATAAATGATTGAGAAATAATTATTTATATTACAATGTACAGGTAGCCCTCAGTTTATGCCGGCTCAATTTACACCGACTTACAATAACGTCGCTATGCAATTTGCCGTTTTGTGGTGTAATTCCCCAATTTTCCCTATGCCAGACCGATTTTCATAAAGTCCAATAAATTGACGTATTTACTGAGCCACGACATTGTACATTCGTTAAAACAAAGATTTTTATTAAATATATTTAGTTTTTCTGTTTAATATTATTGGGTATGTATACATTTGCATTAAATAAATATAAAAACACTAAATGTTTAAGTACCCACGTCCAAACTTAATAGTCCAATAAATGGTGTCCAAATCCATAGCGCCAATGAATGTATCCCATATCAATTCGTTCAAGAAAACACCTTACGACGCAGTAGCACTTCTGGCGATCACAAACTATCGTTAGTGAGACAAATCTACTTCTCGTTGGCCAGACGATACTTTTTTATTAGACAGACGATATCTATCTCTCCTTAGCCACCTTGAATTTTCCCACTCAAACTGACCTTATACATGCGCTATGGCGACCAGTGGTCAACCAATCAGTGTCTCCGCTCGTCCGTAGCTCTACGTCAGGTTAACATATCCTTTGAACTATGGAAAGTTTGACGGATGAACTTTGTGAGTTAGACAATGATTGTGAGCGAAGTACAAATGTAAAAAGAAGCATCATTGCATCCATTCGACCATATTCCGAAATTCTCAATGAAAGAAAACAAAAATGTAAACAATTAAAGATGGATACTTTTTTCCGAAAAATGTAAGAGATCCGAAACTAAAATTTTTTAATAAAAACATTTCACTTTATTTTATGATAAAATACATTTTAAAAATTAAAAATTTATATGTATTTTGTATTATATTGTATTAATAAACAAAATTATTAGCTTATTTTTCACTTATGTAGAACCTAACCCTATACCTCACTGTAAATA